GGTATTGAGTAAGGGAAGAGTCGCTGCTATAATATTAATAATACTCTTAGGAAGGTATAACAAGGTAATTAAAAACTTGTGGTTACCTTAAAATCTCTTTTAAACTACACACAAACAGAACATTTAATCTTTATTCTTCCGAATGATAAAACAATAATGGCTGCTAACACATACCACTCCTAGAAAGGAGAAAGGAGAGAGGACACATAAGATACACTTGGTCGGTGTATCTACGCTCAGGCTATCCGCGCTTGCGCACACCTTCATTTCATGTTAGAATGTAGACACAACAGTAAACTATTACAAAGTGTAATATACGTCACATAGTAGTGTGTATACGTCACATTTTTACAAGGTGTGTACTATAAGCACAACTATGATACGAAGTATCACACATACATATGACTTATACATTGTATGTCTTATATACCGACGTCAGATTTCATCATTTTAATAATTATTTGTTTCGTTACAAAAAACTCTTTAGAATCTTGAGTGCATACGGTATACAACTAGTAAACACTGTATCACACAATTCTATCAATACAAACCTGCCTGTATCTCATATGTATATGTTAGAACTAGATGAACACTTAGGTTCAGTTTAACATATTTTGTTCCTCATGTGTCTCCCTTGTAGAAACGTAATTTCATTTGGACGTGCTGTATGGGCTATTTGTAGGACGCGCCACCTACATGTTTTTAAACTGTTTTGAAGAGTAATAACTTTTCGTCCGTACCTGTATAAAACTAATGTCTGAAAAAATATAGATTTCCATGACTTTTTACGTAAAAAATGTCTCTTGGTTAAAATCGCTACGAGCAACCGTTCTCAAGATATTTAGAATGGAAACAGTCAATACATGTCACTATTGACAAAAAAAGCACACGTTGAGTATAATAGTTATTTGACTGAAATAATAAAATTTTAATTTTTTAAATTAATCATAAATTTTTCTTTCTGTGAAAAAATGATGATTAAACAGTTTCTGTTGAAATTTTGCCACAAAAAGATTTCAAATTTATGATTTCAGTCTAATAACTATTTAGTCAACGCATGTCTAATTTATGTCAATGATGACAGGTATTGATAATTTCGATTCCTAATATCTCGAGAACCATTACTCGAGCGATTTTTACCAAGAGACCTTTTTATGTAGAAAAAGTCGTAAATGTATATTTTTTACTCAGTAGTTATATACAGATATGGACGAAAAGTATTACTCTTCAAACCAGTTAAAAAATATGTAGGTGGCGCCCTGTACAAGTAGGAGTCATATTGACATGAAAATCAAATTCCTCATGTTAAAAAACTAACAGACACCAATTTTTATCCAAATATTCACGTTACTTCAGAAATTATTTGAAAAAATTCGAAATAAAAATGAAACTTCTACACCCTGTATCTCCGAAACTAAGCATTTTAGAACTTACATTTATACGAACTTTTTTACTTATTTTAATCTGCAGAATATGCTGCTGCAGTTTCCGGAATACAGTTCGGATCACCCTGTATAAACTAACAATTGTCTTTGTTTCCGTTTTTTTATCGTTTAAGTACAATATGAAAAAATATCATGGAAAAAAATTGTACGTCACGGTGACATGGAAATGACAATCAATAACATTGACAAATGACAATCAATAACTCCCAAGCCAACTGTGACGCCGTTCTTTTTTCGATCGTATGGTATTTCTAATAAAATCTTATAATATTTCAGGATCGAATTGTAATCAGGCCATAATGCTTATTAGTGAAGGTGTTGATTACGACTATGATATATCTATTTTTAATGAATCGAATTGGCAAAAGAATTTTCCTGTCAGAATATTTACATACCTCGTTAGTACTGACAAAGATGATGAAAAAGAAATGGAATTTATTGCATGTTCGAATATGGGTACGTATAAAGAACTATTGTAACATATGTTTTTATTTTATTGCCCCTTAAAAGTATCCAGTTTGCTGATAAACGCATTAAAGTGACATTTAAATGTTCATCACGAAAATGATCATTCTAAATAATAAACCATACAACGAAAGTTGTAGAGCATCAAATTAGCATTTTGCATCAAGTAACATGTTGATTAAAATAAAAATTTACGCGTTCCGTCCAACTCTTCATGAAATTACATAAGAAGTGATATTCTGAATTAAACTAATACACACGTACATTTAATTAATATTAAAATTATTATATACTAAATTTTGCTAATATTACATAATATATACGAAGTATTCTTCTTAAGCCACAATCGCGGTAATGAACATTTTTTTCTTTGAAATATAAACCTAAAAAAATAAAAGTTTTTTTTGTAAAATCGTCTGTGTCTAATCCAGACGCAAACTAGCTTGTCAGTAACTTTTTACTTGTAAAACAAATTTGCCTAACGTTTATGCACGTAACTGCATGTTTATTTTACGAGTAAAAAGCAACTGACAAGCTAGTTTGCGTCTGCATTCTACTCAGCGTTGTTTTACCAAAAATTAATTTATTTTTTGGTTACTCTTGGAATGGCACTTTTTCAAGGAATCGCGACATATTCTTACAAATACGCTTTGAAGTCGAGGGCCACTAGTCGCTCACACGAATCTCTTTCAAAACTGACTTGTTATTGTGTGACATTTTGTCAGGGATCGTGATATTATCTTATAACGCAATATATATATATTACGTAATCTATAACGTAAAAACCGAATTGAGTCTTACTGAGTTGAGTTATGAGTATACGAAGCAATTGCAATATACACCTGACTGATCTAGATCTTTATTGAACAACTGCACGTTATCTTCGTTAATGACCACAAGCGAGATGTGATTATCATCGGGCGCATTTGAGCTGTCCTTTACATTTAAAGCAGATCGCCGAACATTTCATTCCTGCTTTCTGACAGCTGCAACGACCTCGGCATTCCGTAGAACACTTGCAGGACATGCTGTTGAGTACTTCTGGAGGTGCTACTTACTTCATAGTGGGTATGGGTAGCAAGCCGTATTTTGCTGTTTTTCATCCCGACTGGAGAGGATTTTTAGCCTGTCCCAACCACATCTGGACTTATGTTTGGAAGGCGTGTTGACGAGCTGCAACTTCAGTGAGGGTAAAGGTTGTTATCTTCATGTTTGTCTTGGGTACTACTTTATTGAACATATCGTTCTATTTGAAAAAATTGAGATATGATTAAAAATATGATTTGAGCATTTTCTAACTGGCCAGGACAAGACACTTAAGACATTAGACAATCAAATCTATTTTTCCAAGGCTCCTTGATTAAGAATTAGTGCTTTTAACATAACCATGGCACTAGATTGAATTTTAAAATTCAATTCCATTTTAAGCGAGAATGTTAAAAATTGACATATGATATGTCATTCTATTCAGAATATCATTTTCTATCGAATAAAGTAAAAAAATACCGAGGGTGACTTTTAAAAATCAAAAGTTGTAGTCATTTCCGGTGAAACAGGAAGTGAACAAAAAGAATTGAGTACGTCAATCAATCCTAATTTAGGTCATACTTAAACTAACATACCAAATCTCGTTTTTTTATCTGAAAAAATAAAAATTTATAGGGATGAGCCACTTTTGAGACGCACCCGGTAGTTCCAAAATGTTGCTTTCTAGCCAAAATATCGTCAAAATGAGATATGTTTTCGAGGGTCACCATAAATGGCTACAAAGAATTTTATCACAGCAGCGTCTCCATCAGTACAAGCATTTTTATTTTTGACGATAAGCGCAGCATCTTGTAAGTCTATGATCCTCGCCAAAGTTTTAACAAACTTCATTTTCCCCTGCTGATACAATGATAACGTGGTATCACATCCACTGAAAGCAGCAGGAATAGAATGCTTAATTTTAAACTCTCCGAGTATTTGAAGTGTCTGGAAGAGTACAAATTAGTTTCCTTCGCACCCTTCTCAGGCTTCACTAGTGCAATCTTTGAGGTGGTATGTGCTAATGCTGTAAGTAGGACCAACAGATCTGTGTTCTCTCCAACAATTATTACTGATGGATAATTCAGTGATAAGTCAATTGCAGTCGTATCTATGAGTCATTCAGCATCTTCTTTTGCTATACTTTTACAATAAATCCTTCATCCTCCAGCTTTTATGGAGCATGATAATTAGACTTTTCTTATTATGGTCGTTGGATCAAAATGCTCTTTTAAAGTGCAAAAAATGGTAAAAATAACTATTTTTAATCATCAGTTTTAACTATGCTACTGATCCGAATTGAACGAATTGATACTCATTCTACGCAGAATTGTTGGACGACGGAACGCGAAAATATTTACTTTCTTGGCATGTATTACTTGATGTAAAATGCTAGTTTGATGCTCTGTAACTTTGATTGTATGGCTTATTATTTAGAATGGTCGTTTCCGTGTGACGAACGTTTGAATGTCAATTTATTGCTTTTATCAGAAAAAAAGGTAAATATCACCATTCTTCATCTTTCGATTTCTGCCATACTACTGGACCAAATTGAACAGATTTGTATTTATTATTCGCAGAATTTAATGGTCTTTAATTTTTGTAATAGTGAAATATTGGCTAGAACGCAACATTTTGGAACTACCGGGTGCGTCTCAAAAGTGGCTCATCCCTATAAATTTTTATTTTTTCAGATAAAAAAACGAGATTTGGTATGTTAGTATAAGTATGACATAAATTAGGATTGATTGACGTACTCAATTCTTTTTGTTCACTTCCTGTTTCACCGGAAATGACTACAACTTTTGATTTTTAAAAGTCACCCTCGGTATTTTTTTACTTTATTGGATAGAAAATGATATTCTGTATAGAATGACATATCATATGTCAACATTCTCGCTTAAAACGGAATTGAATTTTAAAATTCAATCTAGTGCCATGGTTATGTTAAAAGCACTAATACTTAATCAAGGAGCCTTGGAAAAATAGATTTGATTGTCTAATGTCTTAAGTGTCTTGTCCTGGCCAGTTAGAAAATGCTCAAATCGTATTTTTAGTCATATCTCAATTTTTTCAAATAGAACGAGGGTTGCTCATTAGCAAATTTGGAAAAAGCATTTTTTTACGAATAATTTGGTACCACACACTTGGTATTTTGAGTAAAATTTTCGTTACGAACCGCAAGTTATAATTTCAAATAAACCATATGCGAAAATGCCAAAAGTTGATATATGATATGTCATTCTATTCAGAGTGTTATTTTCTATCGAATGAAGTAAAAAAATACCGAGTGTGCCATTTAAAAATCAAAAGTTGTAGTCATTTCCGGTGAAATAGGAAGTGACCGAAAACAATCAATTAATCCTAATTTATGTCATATACTAATATACCAAATCTCGTTTTTTTCACTGTAAAAATAAAAAAGTTATAGGAGTGAGCCACTTTTGAGATGCACCCGGTATAAGCGAAAATCTGAAAAAAGTCCGAGAATTTTGCCATCTTTTGTCCCTCCTAAGTCGAGCGGCGTGCGAGCAACCGTGCAAAACTAGGATACTTATCTTTCATGTCAACTGAACAAATGAAGACTATAATGAGCTTTCCAGCACTTTTTTCCAAGTGAACCCTCTAATTTGATTGACCTATAAGTAAAACAGCAAAAATGAAAATATAAAATGACACTAATCACAAGAAAATCGTGTATCCGATGAACGAAGGCATGAAAAAGCAATAAATTTGAAAACTGCGCAAGTTTCAATCGAAGTCTTTAAATTCAGCCAATAAAATTAATATCGTATAATTGTATCGTCGGCAAAGATCTAGTTGACAGGCCAAGTCCGCAGATCAAAATACTAGAGTTTTGGTACGTCTGCAGGCGGGGTCCGCAGGCCGGATCTTCTGGCGTGTGAGGGGTTAATAAGCTTTTGCAAAAATCTAGCAATTTATTTCTTCCAAGAAGATAACTAACAATTATTAATTCAAATATTTTAGGTTACTATGTAAACATGACTCTAAAATCAGACATCAGAGAGAAAATTCTGCAGTATCTTTTCGTCATGTCGAGGCCCATAAATTTTAAGGTTCTGGAGAAGCAAGTACCTATATGGAGCTACTTGTACGTCGACCTAGCCGACAGAAGATTATCGAATTGGCTGTGGACAAAATTCGAGGGGATTAGACAAAGAGAAGTGTTTCTAGACCATTCGAAAAGAAGAGTGGACCGTCTTCAACTGAAATATGACAGCCAAAGTCACATGCTACTACAGGAATCCCATGTAAGTTACTCTGTTTTTTACATGTTATGCATAGATAAAAGAAACAAGTTCAGATTTGAAAGTACCCATATGGACAATGTAAAAACTATTTGGCGCTATTCATACAACGGTCGCGACCCAAAGCTTTTGATAATTTCGGAGCGGTTCGGCTTTTTCCGGAATTATGTCGCCAAATATTATTTATTCAAATTTATTATTATTTTCTCTTAATTTTTTAAATAAAATACAGTGTGTTGCATATATA